CACAGACCGTCACACACAGGCAGGCAGTCTCACACACACAGAGGCAGGCAGTCACACAAACAGGCAAGCAGTTACACACAGGCAGGCAGGCAGGCAGTCACACACACACACACACACACACACACAGAGGCAGGCAGTCCCACAAACAGGCAAACAGTCACACACAGGCAAGCAGTCACACACACACAGACAGGCAGGCAGTCAGTCAGTCACACAAACAGACTTACCTCTTTCCATTATGGCTGGAAGGAGGAGTGGATGCAGTTCCTGTGCAGCAATTACCAGGGTGCTCCTGGTATTTATTAGCCCCGCCGCTCGTTAAGCCCCGCCCCACCTCGTATTTTTTGTTTTTAGACCCGGGTGGAGAATAATTAATCCTCCACCCAGGTACCTGTTTTAGCTCCCTTGCACTCCTGTCAGCCAGCCATGTGCAAGCTGTGTTGGCCACAGGGCACCCCCCTGCTCCATTCCTATCCCACACATGCTTAAACTACCTCACTGTGTTAACCTCTACCACTTCAGCTGGTAGGCTATTCCATGCATCCACTACCCTCTCTGTAAAGTAAAACTTCCTGATATTATTTTTAAACCTTTGCACCTCTAATTTAAGACTATGTCCTCTTGTTGTGATAGTTTTTCTTCTTTTAAATATAGTCTCCTCCTTTACTGTGTTGATTCCCTTTATGTATTTAAATGTTTCTATCATATCCCCTTTGTCTGGTATTTCCTCCAAGCTATACATGTTAAGATCCTTTAACCTTTCCATGTCAATCATATATGACATGGAACACTTCCATTACTCTAATGTTAGATTACCAGTCTCTGTGGTGCCTTTTTTATGATGTATACACACTTGTGACATCATAGCTCTATGTAACCAATCACAACCCAGTATATGGTGTATAAATATATGTACTGGTTGTCTTTGTTTCTTTGCCCTGTCGTGGTTCTTGTTACCTGACAATGTCTTTATACTGTGTATTGAATTTATGGTTTTCTGACCTTGTCTTTTTTTTAACTATTCTTGCTCTCTGTTATCCTGACCTTGGCTTGAATATTGACTCTGTGTATTTCTGTTACCCTGACATTGGCCTGTCCCTTGTTTACTCTCTGTCTGCTTGCAGACTTTTCATTTCTCTGTCTCAGGCACGAGCTCGCCCACTCTAAGGACCGCTACATGTTCCTTTAGGTTTGCAAGTGGCTTTATTCCTAAAATTAAATGAAACTACCATGCATCCTATTAGAAGCTAAAAATGGAAAAAAAAAACTAAACTTTCATCACTGTCCAAACATTTAACAGCTTGTTTTACATCCTTAAACTTTTTTTGGCATTTTTTTACTTTTTCTGAGTGATTTTTTAATGTTATTTAAATCTGTAATGCAATGCTAACAGAAAATGGGTATGAGTCATTGTCAAAACAGGAATATTGAAATGACTTATCACTTCGTAACAGTAAGAATACCTACAAAAAAAAAAAAAAACATCCTTAAAATGTTATAATTTATTTAAATGGCAAAGATATATAATATGTTACCCACATATATTGGCCAAATCAAAGCACTGAAAATTATGGATATACAAAACTTAAAAAAAAAAAAATCAAAGCTGAGTTTGAGAGAAAAGTGCTGCAAAATTACATTGCAAGAACTGGAGAGACAGTGAAATGATAGACATACTAACAAACACTTTGTAAATTTTATATACAACTTAAAAACAATTGGGGGAGGGGGACAGAGTAATAATTTCAAGAACAGATTGAAACATCATAAAAAGAGTATACTGATTCCATATGCCATGATTTCCAACACTCTTTGAAGAAACACATACAAAAACGCTCACTAAACAAAGTTCAACTAAGAAAAAAAAGAAAATTCATCACTAAAACAGCCAAATAGCATCAAACACTCTTTGTTCACGCTCCATGAAAAACACATTGTAACTGAACCTAATGTTCTTTTTCAATTACAATTCATTTCTTATTCACAACAAAATAATATAATTATTTTTCTACTGAAGACATAACTCTGCTATTACCCAAAGTATATTGAGAAGCAAACCAAAACAAGATGAAAAAAAAGTCTTGGGGGTGGGGAGGTGGGAGTTTGGGGGTTGGGCGGGGGGTGGAGCTTAACGTCTGAGCTGAACAGACGCCATCATCCACAGCTCTGGATATTTGGCACCTAATCTGACAAAATCTGGGATACCCTGCTACCATCGGAGCACTTACCTGCACCCAACATCATCAGGAGACGGTGAGAAACAGACCCATGCCTTTCTTGTACTCGAAATCGGGCAAGAAGGCTCATTGCAAATCCGGGGCCTACCTAGAGTATCCAGCCTCACGGGTCGCCGCACGGCACCTGGAGGCCGAGCTTGCAAAGCTGTATAGCTCCCCTTGGCTGCCTGACAACCCCTCTCAACACATAAACACCATGGGATGCAGATCCAAAAACCACAGCCTTGCTCCAGCAAAGACTCTCACGACATTGGGGCAATGTTACAACACCCAGCAGCTTCCAAGATGGCAGCCCGGTCGGAAAGCGGGGTGAACAGGGCAGACTGCCAAGCAGACCTGACTCTGTCTGGAGACACAACCTCCCCCACGACACTTCTAGAGGAAATGTCAGAACGAGACCCGCTAGCTCCAGCTACTAAACAAGATATTGCTAACCTCTTGAGGGAGCTAAGACACATGTTGGCGGTTGATCTGGACGCAGTCCGCACCAAAGTCAGACGGTGACAGCACACACGCAAGCTACAGAGGACGAAGTCCTGGATCTCAAGCGAGAGGTACAAGGACTGAAAGAACAAATGCAAAGCCTACAACGCTCTCATACTTCCCTGACACAGAGGGTAGATATCACTGAAGACCGCAATAGACGCACCAATATTAAAATTCGAGGCGTCCCGGACTCAATTGACCAGGCTGAACTGCCACACTACTTAAAGCGCCTGACAGAAACACTCCTACATCACTCTCGAGAACGTTCATTACTCCCCCTCCCCCGTGCCCTCCTTGGTTAGTTTCGAAAAACAGGTACCTAGTTTGCCAACAGAGGTGTCATTTATAATAACGCTTAACTTACCTACACATGGGTAGGACACACTATCTACACATGGGGGTCCTGTGTTAGACTCGCCCATTACAGCTAATTGATCATCTTACCAACCACCTACAAAGTACCTGCACCTAACACGAACAAATGTTAGATACAAATCATAATGCACAGCCATAACGGATACACCCACACACAAAAAAAAGAGTAAAAGAGCTAATGTTGAATTATTAGAATTGTCAATGTTAGACATTGTTAGACATTTGTGTTTTTTCTCAACTATTCTGAAATCTGAATGCCTGTAAAATTGCCTCAATAAAACAAAGATTGGCAAAAAAGATGAGAAAATCTCAAAACTATGCTATAAAATAAACAAAACCAAAAATATTGCCCCAGTTATAAGAGATTTAATTGAGAAATCAAGGCAGACTATAAATGGACAATGATTTTCATATTATGAGGGGACATTTTTTTCTGTGTTCTGTTTGGGTTATATGATGTTTTTGGGGGTTCAAGGGATGACGTGTGTGTGCAGCCTTGAATTTGTCTGTTGTCGGATCAGTTGTTTTGGATGGTGTGCTTGTGTTTTAAAGCATAGGGTGTGTAGGATAACATGAGGTGTTTGAGTTTACTTGTTTAGTTTTTTATCCTAACATTATGTATATTGGCTATTTACCAAAATTTATTCAAGTTACAGTTAAATTGTGAATACATTTATTTAAAAACAAACGAAAGTACAGACTATCTGCTTTAATTTGAGGGTATTCACATCCAAATTGGAGGAATGGTCTAGGAATTACAGCTCTTGAATATGTAGCCCCCTCTTTTTAAAAGGGCTACTTACATCATTTACCACTTTTAGTCTTCAATTGACTCAACAGGTGTTTCATGACAGATGTAGGCTATTCATTCGTTATTTCTTCATCAGTTAAGCAGGTAAAAGGTCTGGAGTTGATTCCAGATGTGGCATTCGCACTTTTAAGGTGATACAGTGAACCCACAACATGCGGTCAAAGGAACGCTCAATGCAGGTGAATCCTTAAGTTGTCAAAGGAAAATCCATCAGAGAGATAGCAGGAATATTAGGAGTGTCCAAAACAACAGCTTGGTACATTCTGAGAAAAAATTAACGCATTGGTGAGCTCTGCAACACAAAAAGGCCTGGACCTCCACGGAAAATAACAGTGGTGAATGATAGCAGGATCATTTCCATGGTAAAGAAAAGCCCCTTCACAACATCCATCCAAGTGAAGAACACTCTCCATGAGGTAGGCATATCATATTCCAAGTCTACCATAAAGAGAAGATTCATGAGAGCAAATAAAGAGGGTTCACCACAAGGTGCAAACCATTCATAGGGATATATAGTTTACTCCAGTTCAGCCAAATTCAGTGAAGTTGATTGGACAGAGCTTCACTTAACAGATAGACAAAGACCCAAAACATTAAAAAAACAAAACAAAAAAAAAACCGAAGTGGAATATTCTGAAATGGCAGTCAGTCACCTGACCTCAACCCGAGCGAGCATGCATTTCACTTGCTGAAGACAAAACTTAAGGCAGAAAGACCCATCAACAAACAACAACTGAAGACAGCTCAAGTTAAGGCCTCACAAAAGAGGAAACCTTGTCTTTGGTGATATCCACGCATTCCAGACTTCAAGCAGTCATTGCCTGCAAGGATTCTCAACAAAGTATTCAAAATTAACATTTTATCTAATAACATTTGAGCCCCTGAAATAAGGGGGCTATGTATTAAAATTGTTTCAATTCATACAATATTTATGTTCAACCCCTTCAATTACCACTGAAAGTCTGCACTTAAATTGCAACTCAGTGGTTTCACTTCAAATCTTCAAATCCATTGTGGTGGCGTACAGAGACAAAATTATAAAAATGAAAATTGTGTCCAAATATTGAATCTAAATGTATTTCATGACCTTACGGTGTGTGTGTGTGTGTATATATATATATATATATATATATACACACACATATACATACACACACACACACACACACACACACACACACACACACAGGGAACCACATAAAGAGACAATACTGTGATGGTAGTCACCATCACTGGTTCCTAAATTGCTCCTATGTCTAAGTCACTATGTGCCTATTTTAGGTGCAGCATCTTTATGTGTTTGTATACTGTTAATTGTTTTATGTGCTCTCCTGTCCTGCTGATACTTGTTACCAACTAAGTGGATTTGGCTATGGAGTATGTATAGCACCCTCTGTTGGTAGCAACAGCTATATGCACTACCTGAATAGCAAGACTTGTTAATTTGCATATTCAGGTGGATTTGCATTTTGCTAATTCTGCAGGCAGAATTTTTTGTGTTAAATTTTGACTTCCCCATCCCTTTATAAATATTTTATTATGTTATTATAATTCCCTGTGTTTTTTCTTACATGTTTTGGTTATTTGAATTTTATTAAGTTTGCCACAGCAAGCTTGATGTAAAAAGCATATGGGCTAGTACCAAGTAAAAATACAGCTTTGTATGTTGTTTCCTTTGGAACTGGGTGTCCTGTGTGGATTTTTAGGGACCCCAGCAGTCTTAGGACTTGTTGGTTTGCTGCATGATCCCTCTAGCCCTGGCATAAATCAAGAGATAGGCCTGAGAGCTACAAGTGCCTTTATAAAGGAAATAGAAATCACAATGCAGGCAGAGGTGGATACCTGCCTGGAAAAGGGCTGCAGCAGAATAGACAGAGGGGACGATACCTGGATGGAAAGCTGCAGCGGAATAGACAGAGGGGGCGATACCTGCCTGGATGAGAGCTGCAGCCTGGTCAGGTGGAAAAGCTCAAGAGAGACCACAGTCAAACCTCTGTGACTGGGGTTGAAGCGCTCCAGTCTCCCTCCCCAATGGCTAGGAATTGGGCGGAGGTACTCGGTCGGAGTACAGGAGCTCTGTCACAAATTAGTTAGATTGTAAGCTCATTGGCAGGGTCCTCTACCTGTTGTATAGCTTTGTTCTTATTGTGTTGTCTTTCCCAATTGTACAGCGCTGTAGAATATATTGGCACTTTATAAATGCCAGTAATAAACAAATAAAATAAATATGGTGATACATGCATAGACACAGAACAAATGTAAATAGACATATACAGACAGGCACTAATATTGATATTCTTGGTAAATAGGCTGTGAAAATTTGTCTTTATTGTTTCTTTTTTTTAATTTTTTCCTTTAAAAAAAATATTCTGCTCTCATGGATATCAAACAATTGCAAACACAACACATGTTTATTAAAAACAAACACAAAGATTGTTAAATATATGTGTGGCACAAATATTGACACCACTATGAATTCATATGAGAAAAATATATTTGAAGTATATTCCCATTGATATTTTACATTTAAAAAAATATATATATATTTATTTTTGTAGTACAAACAGAGTAATATAGGAATAGACATATTACCAATATGTGTAACAAAATATATTCACTTATGTCCCGTAGGTAGCGCACTGTTTTTTTTTTTTTATTTGGGGGGGGGGTGTTTATGACGCTATTTTGGTTAGCACTTTTTAATCTAGTAAATATCTGGGAGTATATACTTTCATACTTTTATAATAAAGACCATATTATTTCTTAACTTAAAACATAATAAAAAACAAACATTAACACAATATGGTCTATTCACTAAACAACCGATTGCAGTGAATTGAAAACGGAACTGCAAAATGTAGGCATAGAACGGACATGGTATAATTTTCCATCTCCACTATAGACACATCTAGGCTAATTTTGCAGAAATTTTGCAATTAATTTTTAAATTCCCCAAATTTTGTTTTTGATAAATAATCACCATTCACAGAATTTTGATTAATTTGGAACACAACAGCAAAAACAAATGTGAGGGAGACTGAACCTTTTTTCAGCTATGTAACTATGACTCCCAGTCACTATAAGGAGGATTTTGGATTGCTATTTGGGGATATGTCTGTAAGGGGTAATAGAAAGCAGAATATAAATGTGATACAGTCAAGCATTACTGCCGAAAAAAATCATGGAATCTGGAATGTATTTTTTTTTCTTTTTGTCAATCTTTATTTTGAAAGTGCAAGTGAGAACATAGATGTGTGCACTGCCATGGCAACAGCTGCATGCAAAGCAATTATTAACATGGTATAACAGGGACATGGCAAACTGTATATTACATGTGCACAACTTTTTGTGATTTAAATCGCAATCCACCAAAAGTGCGCAATCCACCAAAAGTACTGGCTTCGTGCTAGCAGGAACATTGTTAACCCCTTCTGGACCTGCCCGTTTTTGCGATGTTGTACGTTAACGACCAGGCCTCTTTTTACAATTTTGTGGTGTTTGTGTTTAGCTGTAATTTTCCACTCTCTCATTTACTGTTCCCATACAAATTATATATTGTTTTTTTCAGGACAAAAAGGGCTTTCTTTACATACCATTATTTGTATCATGTCATATAATTTACTTAAAAAAAAAAAAATAATAAAATATGGTGAAAAATTGAAAAAAAAACCCCCAAAAAACATGTTTTTGGACTTTTGCTTGAAAAATCTTTTACTTACCTACGAAAGCTAATGAAAAAAAAACTGCTAAATAGATTCAAAATTTTGTCCTGAGTTTAAAAACACCCAATGTTTACGTGCTTTTTTTGCAAGTTATAAGGCTATAAGCATGGGCGTCCGCAGGAATTTTTCCAGGGGGGGGGGGGCATAATTGTAATGACATCCATGCTTGGCCCCTTTTTGACAGTGTCATGAAAGGGAAGGAGCATAGTCATTTTCACATAAAGCCAGATTGAATAGCTTTTTTACAACTATGGTGTCAGGAATATATGTTTGTATTCCTGACACTATAGCGTTCCTTTAATCAAATTAAAGGAACATTCTGGTCACCATAACAACTTTAACTAAATGAAAATGCTATGATGCAAGGAGGCCCCTGGGCGCTCTCTTTCCTTTAAGGGGTGAAACCACTCTCAAATGGTTTGCCCCCAAAGGCTTCCTCCAGTTCCAGACCTCCAGGTCACTCAGTGGTACTCAGCTTCTTAAACGGAGCAGACCCTCTAGCCAATCAGCGGCACCCCTACCCAGTGGCCCTCTGTGTTTCTTGACATTCAGTAAATTAAAGTGAACACATTAACACTGATATTTTGTTTTTACTTGGGGAGATGAGAAGGTCCAAAGTTTCCCTGCCAGGCCCAGGTACCAAAGCCTTATGATGTGGTGTCCAGAATGAAGTACTCCAATCTCATTTTCTTCTCCTTCATTTGACACAGTCTTCTTTTTCTTCTGAGGCTCCTTCTGCAGAGGCGGCTCTAGACTTATGAGGCCTTAGGCGAAACTCAAACATGTGGCCCCACTAACAAAAAAAAAGGAAAAAAATAGAGTTGCAATACATGCACACTGTCACATATACACATTGATGCACAGTTTACCTGTGTATGTGCCTGAGAGTGTGTCTGACCGAGAGTATCCGTGTGTGTGTGTGTGTGTGAGAATGTAATGCATGTTTGCGTTTTTGTCTGGTACAATATGTGTATGACGTAGCTGCTTGAAGAGGGGGGTGATGGTGAGAGGGAGAGGGGTGGGAGAGCAGGTGATGGTGAGGGGGGTGATGGGGGAGTGATGGTGAGGGGGCATAATGCTGAGGGAGGGGGTGATGGTGACGGAGGAGGTAATGCTGCTGAGGGATGGGGTGAGGGGGGGGTGATGCTGAGGTAGGGAGTGATGGTGAGTGGGGTAATGCTGAGGGTGGTGATGCTGAGGGAGGGGGTAATGCTGAGGGTGGTGGTGGGGGGTGATCGCGATGGTGGGGGTGCTGAGGGGGCAATGTTGAGGGTGTGAGGAGGGTGATAGTGGGGGTGTTGCTGAGGGGTGCTGGGGGGTGATGATGAGGGAGGAGGGTAATGCTGAGCGTGTGAGAGGGGGTGATAGTGAGAGGGGGTGATGCTGAGGGTGGTGAGGGGGGTAATAGTGCCCCCCATCCCTCACTTACCTGATCTGTAGGCGGTTTCAGTCATGAGCGAGAGGTAGGGATAAGCTGTAGCTTCCTGCCTTTCAACATTCACAGCGGTATTGCACTGTATTCTCACACAAACAAAAAATAGCAGCACAACCTGAAAAATCCAGGGGGGGGGGAGGGGGGCAAGTGCCCCTCAAATTGCAATCAATAAAATTACTTAATTATGTAAAAATATTAAATAAATATGCACGTGGGGGGGGGGAAGCAGAGCTTGACAGCCAAGAAAGCCAGATGTGCTCTGCAAGAGCTCCCGCACCTGGCCTAAACAAATCGAGATTTACACCAGAGGATACCCGTTGTGTTAAGAATAAAAGATTAGGGAAACAAAGTATAAATTATGGTGCTACTATCACCTAGTGTGAATCACTCTAACACACCAAAAATCAGTATAGTGCAAAATTTGTACAGAGTGCTCTCACCATTAATTCTATTTTTTGCATGTACTGAGTGCTCTCACCACCATTGATACCCGCTGTGTGCCTGTCTGGCCCCGGAAAGTCCTGCTAGCGACTTGCGGCCTGCACACGCCTGAGCTTTGCGGAGACAGCCGCTCCCCTAGCTCCTCGGACAAACTGAGCAGTCCCGGTAATAAAGCCATCCCTCCCCCCCCCCCTCTGGACCGGCAGGGGTTATCCCGGTATCCACTGGCTGACACCTGCACCGACCTTAAGCGACTATCACCCCACAAATCCTGCATGAGGCCGACTCACCAAAGATGGCGACCATGCCTAAGCTCCACCAACCATGCCTGAAAACAGCCCATGGAGTCACGTGGAGGGGACGCCGAACATGTGCTGGAGTGCTTAGACGTGAGCTGCTGGGCCAAGTTGGTAGCCCGTCTTGCAGCGACACCATACCGACTGCCTGAGGAAGTGCTACCCAGAGAGCCACACTATAAGCCGGTGGGAAGCAGAGCAGCTCCCGTGGGTCATCTTGTAAAACGAAGCGGCAAGGAAAAACACCTCCCCTGCACGACCACCAAAAGGAGGAGGCACAAGAAGCC